TTAGGAAAAGTATAACATAGAAAACATAGAGGTAAGCATCTGTGTTTCAAAACACTCATTTTGTCTGGTTTATCCTAAATATAATTTTTCTTATTTTTATAATATTATTATTTTTTAATTATTTTCTTCCCTTTTCTTTTAGTTTTTTCTAGCAAAAAAATTTATCATGTATTAAATGCATATGTACCATCCCACCTAAAAGTCCAAAAGTTTGGCCATTGACTATCAGTCACCTAACACCAACCTAACTTAGCAACATAAAATTTGATGACCAATTCACTGACCAAATCTCCAATTTTTCTTAAAAAAATCTTAGAAAATTTGAAATTTTAATTTCAAAAGCTCGATAAATAGAGTATTCCCTACAAATAAAAATCCAGAGAGAACCCACAAAGAATCAAAAAAAAAAAAAAAACAAAACAAAAAGGAGAACTAAATTTACCCTTTTAATTTAGCCTTAATTTATTTTGACAATAATTTGACTAGTGTTATTGGTAAAACTTAAAAAATCATAAAATATTTATAAACTATGATGTTATATAAAATACTCATAAAAAAATTATTTTTGTAGGAAGTATCAGTTATATCATTAAATCTAATGTTATAATAAAAATATGGATATAATAATTTTTTTATAAAAATAAAATTTTTTTAACTTTCTTTTCCTTAGCTTTTCCTCCAAATTGGGATATTAAAAAGGTGAGGAATACAAAAAAAACAAAAAATTATTTGAAATTTTCACCTTTCCTTTTTTAATTAACAATTTATCCAAACAAAAGAATGATTTTTCTGTTTCCTTTCCTTTCCTTCCCCTTTGCTCAATCTAAACATAGTGTTAGCAACAGAATTACCAACAAAATTGCTAATGGAAGAAACAAAAAGTTCTTCAAAAATCATTTTTTAAATTAGAAAAGAACTTTAAGTGAATTAGTGATGAAAACTTTGCCGCTAATTTTGTCAATAATAAAAAAGAAAATTTTTCAAAAATAATTTTATTTTTCATAAAATATAATATGGTTTAAGTGAATTAGTGATGAAATTTTTGTTATTAATTTTGTCTCAAATAAAAAATAAAATTTTCCGAAAAAATTATTTTTCTTTAAGAAAAATACTTTAAGAGAATAAGTGATCGAATTTCCATCGTTAGTTTTCCCATCATTCTCAGAATTTTAGTCTGTCTAAATTAGCGACAGCAATAGAGATGAAAATTAGTTTCCGTCAGTAATTTGGTATTTTTAGCAATCAAAATCCATTGCTAAAAAAATACTGTTTTACTTAAATCTGTCATTATTCCATTGAAAATCCGTCACTATTGATAACTTTTAGCAACAAAAAATTTTTGTCGATATTTTTCCGTTGCCATTGACATGTTTTGTTGTGACATAAGATTGACTTTCATCGCTGGCACTGTCTTCGAAATATCTGTCATTTTTCTACATTTTTTTTCATGTTTCTTTTCTTCTTTGTCATATCATTTTTTATATTTACTTTTTAATTTGATACAGATAGAATATTCTGTTATATAGTTTATTTAGTTTAGCTATATTATTATTATTATTTAAATTGTGGTTATTAGTAAATAGTTAGGATAAGTAAATAGGATTATTTTGAATTTACTATTATTTTTAAATGATAGTTATTTAGGAAACTAGGTAACATTAGTCTATAAATTTATTTTAAAATTAAGTGTTTATATGTGACGAATTATTAATAAAAATCAGAGTTTGAATTTACCCTAAAGAGTTCTTTTCTTTTTCTTTTTCTTTTGGTACGTATCATATTCTATGAAATATTTTACATGTTTCTTACTTGCCACATCATTTTTTTAATTTTTATTTTGATATAAAGAAAATGCTCTATTCTTGTTAATTTTGTAAACGTACCAACATAAAAATTTAAAAAAAAAATTGTAAATATAAGTTATGGGAAGGATACAGTGAATTTGGCGTCGAAATTCAGCTTTAAAGCATCATTACATACGGATGCCATCATTTGTTACCAGCCATTTAAAAAATAAAAGACAGATTACAAAAACTTCTAAAATTTTTAGTTTTTTACAAAATAAATTTTTGTCAGTTTTTTATTTTTTAATATTTTTATTTATTAATTTATTACTGTTAATTGTTAAAAAGGAATTTTTTTTTAATTAAATTTATCCTAAAATCATCCTAAATCAAAATGTAATAGTAAAGTTCAGTACAGTTATTCTAATTTTGTTTGTTAGCTTCACGTGCTGCTGCTTTTTGGTCCCTGTGGTTAGCCAGAAATGAAAATGTTTTTGAGAATGAAGAGTGGAATGTGGATGAACTGCTTTTCTTAGTGAAACTCAGTTCAATGTTATGGATTAAGGCTATGAAGGAAAATAATATCTTCAGACTCCATGTGGAGGGGTTGAGCCAATCCCTTGCACACCCTCTAGTTCAAGAAAAACTATAAGGCCCCTCTTTCTGCTCCCTCGTATTTTTGGGTATCTTGTTGATGGCTCGGCAAAAGGAAAACTTGGACCTGCTCGATGTTAAAGATAATCTAATTGCAGTTTTGTCACTCTTTTTTTGGTTCTTGGGGGTGTAAGGATTCAAATGTAGCAGAGTTATTTGCCATTAAATATGGCTTGGGGGTTTTTGAGAAATCTTGTAAGATAGGTAGTCTAGAACTTATCATTGAATCCAACTCTGAGGTGGCTTTCAGTTGGTGTAAGAACGAGACAAATCAAACCCATATATTATGAAAAAGTCAGCAATTACAATATATAAAAGCCTGGTTCAAAAAGATCAGCAAAACAAAGCCTCAATAAGCCAACAACAGCTCAAACCAAATCTTCCTCTAAAAATCAAAATAGCTTACAACCAAACAAAAAAGAAACCAGCTCAATCCACCCCACTTAGCTAAAGAGTTAGCAAAACGTTAGCTTTTCTAAACATATGAACAAAATCAATCACTCCAATCTTCTTACTAAGCTTATCAATCTCATTCGTAGTGTCCCATTTCTTCCAAAGTCTGAATTCAAACTTTATAAACCCAAGATAATGCTATCATTGAGTGAGAATCAGCAAAACAAAGAACACTTTTTAAACCAAGAAGACTTTGAAAAACCTCCAGCACCATTATAATTACCTAGATATCAGCAATATTAACATCTAGTAAGCCAAGCAATCCAAAAAATACATTCCCAAAACTCAACTAGAATAATCCCTTAATTCCCCAACACATATTGCCTTACCTTGTTTTCCTTTAACTCAAAACCAACCTTAAACTCAAACCTATTAAAAGGACATGTCATGAGAACATATATAACACTTTTGACTTCACTGAAGATAAAAAAAAAAAAAGGATAGTATTGAGGAACATTGCAAAATCATTCCCTCTATTGCAACTTTTCTTGACACGCCTAGAAAACAGCATAGCAAATTGATATTCTCCATAAGCCTCATTATGCAACCTCCCAACATCCCAATATCCATTTCGCGAGATAGCACTCAAATTGATCTAGATGTTGATCCAGAAAACAGGGGTCGCAGCAAACTTCAAGAAGAAATTAAATACAATTGCCTTATAAGCTTATCATTTTCCATCATCCAAACCAAAGTTCACTTCCATCCCAAGATCACCATGAAAATTCTTTTCCACTCAATCTGTTGTCTGCAAAATTGGCTAACTCAATCTCCTATCAAATTTATTACAATTATTGAAATGAAACATCACCACCTAGAGCAAACCTAAATTTGCTTTACAGCCTCAAATTCCAAAAATCCACCCCATAACATCAATTAATTATCAACCAAATCTCATGAAACCAAACATTTATCACAAAGTAATAAAATATATATAAGATCCATTTCCTTAATAAAAGCAAATCAATCATAGACCTCATATAGTTATAATTGATCACACCTGAGCTCTTATTAAATGAATCATTTTTCCCTATTGATAAAAAGACTTTCGATCTCCCGCTAGCTAGAATTAAAACCCAATTACCATTATCCTCTTATATCCTCTCAATTCTCCTATTATCACATTAACCCAGTTTAGTCTTCTGGATAAATATGAATTTTCTATCCCAACTTAACTTAGTGCTTAGAGCTTTAAGATCTTGAGATTGATTTTTCTTTTAAAATTTTGAAAGATTGTTCTCTGTTAATAATAGAAAAGAAGAGTAAATCCTTTCTAATTGAATTTTTAGAGGATTATACTTAATTAAATAGTTTTTGTTTTTTATCTGAGGTGGAGTCCACGTGTACATACTACTTCAATTTAGGAATTATGTTTAAAACAACTCTAATTTAGTAAATTAGGTTAATGAGTGCCTTGGTTGAGGAAAAAACTCTTTGGTCTAATGTGTTTAGGGAATCAAGTGAGATGGAAAATGCCTTGGTAGTAGACAGGAAAGAAGTTTTTATGGCCTGGTGGTAGTTGATATTCTGTTTAATGAGCATTGTTTATGCTTCTTTGCTACAGTTGCTATTCAATATCCTTGATATTTGAGTTTTACTTACGTTGTATTACATATGTTTTATTTGGATTTTGGTGCGGAATATTGTAGTGAAAACCTGTTTACTGTTGTGAGTGTTGTCTCACTTCTATCATTAATGAAATTTGATTTAATTAGAAAAAAAATAAATCAAAAATCAAAGTTTAAGTTCAAAATTCAATCAAATTAAAATAGAATAATAAAATTCAATATTGAAGTAAAGTATACTAACAAATATGCGCTCAATCCAAAAAAGATTGGATAAAAATTACACTTCTTGGAAAATGACAATATATAATGAGACATAGAGAAGTTGGTCTATCCAGTCCGGCTCTCATCCAGAAAGGATCTATTCCTTGGAAGCGTAATAGATTTCCATCTAGAAAATTTCAAATTGAAGGAGATTGAGAACGGCAACGAAACCAATTGTTTTATTGTTGCCTTTTAGAATACTACTAGATTATTATATTATATTATATGTATTAGTAATTGTTATGTCCTCATCGCTGTTCGACATTTGAAAGTCACAAGGCTATACAAAAAAGACCCGGAAAGAGGAAGGGATCAAAATTCACAAGTCATAAGAAAATAATCAGAGAGTTAAACACTAAAAAAAAAACATGCATGGCCATCTGTCGCAGGATACTCCGGTTGATGCTACAGCTGCTGTCGTGTGGGATGTATACGGTGGTCTGCAGCTCGGAAGGCTCGTCAATAAGTTACTACCGGACGTTCTTGGAACGGTGGAAGTCATAGAAGGTGATGGAGAAGTAGGAACCGTTGTCAAACTTACATATCCACCAGGTACTACCAATATATAGATGTAATAGAATTATAGATTTTTTATTTTATTTTATATAAATACTGATTAACCTTTGAACTATATAACGGGGAGTAACCTATGTTTTTTCTTTTGGTACAAAGTAACTTATGATTTTTTTTTAATATTTGATACTAGAATTAGAATTTGATTATTAAAATTAAAAATTTAGTATTTTATCGTCAGATCACATAACCGTTTGTAGATACCTATGCATTTTGCTAATCCTTGATTAGATTTTGACATAACTGATATTTTCCCAATAAAATCCTTGTAGGAAGTCCTGGAATTGGTTATATGATAGAAAGGTTCACGAAGGTTGACGATGAAAATCGAGTTAAAGAAACTGAAGTCATTGAAGGAGGATACAAAGCTCTTGGATTTGATCTTTTCCGTGTTCGCTTGGAAATCATAGAGAAAGAATCAGAATCATCTATCATCAGGTCATCGATAGAGTATGAAGTAGATGACAAGCTTGCAGAAGTTGCTTCCCATGTGAGTATTAAGCCACTGGAAATAATGGCAGAAACTGTTCGGAAACATCTCATTGAAAAGAAAACGACCCACTAGGACTCTTTTTCCAATTCCAACTACATTTTCTTTGTTTAATTGCTAAATTCTCATGTAAAACTTTTCAACTAGAACAAACAAGGAATTGATATGGAGTCCTGAATTTATCCTTGTTAATAATGAATATATATATATATATATGGTGCAAGATATGATGTTTTATAAACAGGACGTGCTTCACAGTAAGATCAATTGAATTTATGGCTATAACTATTTTTTGTTGGTTGGTTTCAATTGGCTAAATTTCTTCATTTAAATGTTGTTTTAAATTGAAATCTTTTATCATATTAAAACTAAATCTGCACATAACAATTCATATATTCATATCATAGAAAATATTAATAATTTATATATTTATATAATATTTTACATAAATATTGTATCACAATTCGTATTAATATAAAAAACATAAAATATATTTTTATTTTATGAAATTTATATATAATTTTACTAAAATTTTAATTTATGTTACTTTCATATATTTTTTATATTATTTTTGTATTGCTCCATCGTTTTATATTTTAAATTGCAAATCTAACAAAATCAAGTGAGCTGAGATGTTACCATCTGCCTGTTGCCCTTGTATTCATACGGCTTCACAAAAATCTTGTACTAACATATCGTTGATTGTATCTCAAAATTGTTGTACCAACATTTATTAACATAGAGTTTGTCTATGACTGAAACTATATCTTACCACATAGAGAAATAATTTTCCTTGAAATTTCATTTTTTAAAAAAATTGTCATCTTAAATTATTCGGAAAATGACAATAATGATGGGAGTTGGAGTGTTGGACCATCCAATTTGGCTTTTGGTAAAAACATCTCTTCTTACCAAACAAATAGATTCCATCTGAGGGACTTACAAACTGAATGGCCGGTACGACAGAATTTACATAAAATTTTTCGGATCTTTTCTAGGGATATGCTTTGATAACATAATTATTGATCGGATAATGAATTATTCAAAATATCGAATCGTGGGATTAATAGTTAAGTAATTTGATCAATTATCGGATAAGTAAAAAATATTTAAAAAATAATTAATTATAAGATAAATAATAAAATTTTATTATAAATTCAATCAAAGCAACTTCTGCAAGCTTGTCATGAATCTACTTCATACTCTATCGATGATTTGACGATGTATGATTCCAAATTTTTTTTTCGAGATTTTCAAGCGAATACGAAAATGATCAAGTCCAAGAGCTCTATATTAGGAGTGTAAATTATACATTAATATTCGTAAATTATTCGTATTCGATTCGAATAAGATTTTAATTCAGCTCGATTATTATCAAGTCGAGTTCGAGTTCGAGCTCAAATAGTTCAACTCATTGATCGAGCTGAATTTAAATATTTTTATATCCGACTTGAGTAACTCGTAAACCTAATCGAGCTTTTATATTTAAATATATTTTTATTATTTTAATAAATAAAATATTTCAAACTCGAGTTCAAGTTCAAGTTTAAGCACAAATAATCAAACTTTTGTCAAATATAAGAATTGAGTTTGTTTTTACATATTAATCGAACTTAATCGAGCAAACTCAAATAGCTCAATTTTTATCTTAAGTCGAGCTCGAGTTTAAAAAATAAAATTCGATCGAATTCGAGTCGAGTTTCGAATCTTGAATTTCAAATCGAGCTCAAGCTTAATATTGTATCAATTCGAGCTCGAACTAAAAAAATAAAACTTGATCGAATTCAAACCGAATTTCAAACCTCGAATTTCAAATCAAACTCAAGTTTAATATTATATCAACATGAACTCGATCGGTTACACTCCTACTCTCTACCATCCTTCAATGACTTGAGTTTCTTTTTTAACTCGATTTTCAGCATCAAACTTTGTGGTATTATATGGCATGGTATATACAAAATAATTACACTAAACATTATCTTGGGATTATAGAGAGTTTCTTTACCTGTTTTTAACTTGCGGCCCAAAACGTTTAATAATAGCTATTTCAAAACTAAACATTATCATATGATTGTATCGTTATTTTTTTTTTTTTCCGTTATCCAAAGGGATAAGGGAATAAAAACGATGAGGTTGGAACTACCTTACATGACTTATTAAGCTTTCTTAAATAGGTAAAGATGCTTAAGATTTTTATTGTAATGTTAATTATGAAACGAATTTGTTAATGGGACGCACACGTGGAAACAATGAAGACAAGATGCTAATACCATTTCTTTATCCTCTTGCCTTTTGACTTTGTTCTTTCTTTTTCTAAGCAACAGACGTTGGCTATAAATCCTTCAATTCAGCTTCAATTAAACCACCATTTATCATCATTAAGTTCCTGGCGCATTTACTTCTACGCCCATATATCTATCCTACAATTTTTGATAAAAAATTGTTTTTCTTCAACTTAAGTTTTCTAACATACTCTCAATCACTCCATTGTTAAGTATAAATCTATTTGAAGAACTTGCATTTTTGGTTATGTATGTACCGTTAACACCCTAAGAATCTACGCCTAGCATTTTCATAGGTGAGTTGTCATGATGACTGATTTCAAATTGCAATAGAAAATTAACTAATTCCTTTCATTACACGGGTAGGAAATTCTGTTACGAGATTTCAAGACTGATTTCAGCAACAATCTATTGCCTTCCCTAGTTAAAAAAAGTAACTTCTGAATGAAAAAAAAAAATGACAGTTATCTCAAAGTTATTCAAGGGAACAAAATAGAAAAAGAAGCTTCGAGCCATCAAACAATTTTTGAAATGGGTTAATATAATGAATAACTTCTAAATTATATTAAAATGTTTAATGTGATACTTAAATTTTAAAAATCTCTAATATATAAATTTTTTAACTAAAATAATACTCACTCTTAATGTGACTAACTTCAAATGATGATACATAACAGACAAATAACTCTCTAAATATCACATTAATTAATAAATTCATAACACAAAATCACATTATAAATTTTTAAAGTTTAGATACCACATTGAACATTTCACTGTAGTTTAGAAGCCATTCATGACATTAACCCATTTGAAATAGACAATGCTGAAAAAATGCAAACATAAGACCTCCTGGTCTTCACTTGAGTAACCTGTCTTTTCCTAGAGTTTGCCTTTTGTTTCTTTTTAACAGGCATTTCCGAGAAAATCCCTGGAAATATTAGCATATGGGAAGGTTCTGAGAAAGTTGACTATAGTTCAATGCAGTTCACAGCAAGTTGCCAAATCATATTATTTGTTTTAAGTTTCAATAATCAGCCGCCTCTGATATCATCTTCCTTGATAATGCTCAAGGCCATGAGAGTCCTGCCAAGCTAGTGGGTGGATATTTTTCAGAGAAATCCTATGTTTTTAACTATGGTGTTTTATTACTGGAGATTATTAGTGGCAGAAGAACACAAGCTTTAACAACCACAAGCATTCTTTTAACCTTCTCGGATATGTAAGTTTACATGATCGTTTCAATAATAACTTTCTAAGAAAACAATTTCATACATAAGATAATATTTGCAATATTCAGGCATGGCAGTTGTGGAATGAATAGAACATTTCAGCATTACCAGATACAACTGGTTATGACCAATGCCATTATCAGGTAATAAAGATATGCATGCGTATGGGATTGTTGCACGTGCAAGAATTTGCAAAAGATAGGCCGACTATATCTGCTGTTATTTCAATCCTAAACAGTGAGATTGTAGATCTGCTGTTTTTTCAATGCTAAACAGCGAGATGTAGAGTCCCCTTACAGTTATCAGAATACATGCTCCATGAATGATGTGACTGTCAGTAATGTTGAAGGCCAATGAGAAGCAAGTTCTAAAAATGTCTATTTTACATTCATGTTGCATTGGTTATATGATGACTAAGTGACCGGTTATTCATTACAAGATCTGATTTCGAAGTTCTAAAGATTCAAAATTAGGCTAATGCTTTATGCACATTTAAAGCATGCCAAAAACTAAGGAGTGCAGAACTTATGGTTGCATTCACAGATACAGTGGTCTTTATTCCATGCTTTGACAATAAATTTTGAAGCAGGATGTATTGGCTAGCACTACTGGTCGGCCAGGAGACTACCTTAAACACAGCTATTAACCTGATATTGGAAAGGACACAGGTCCCATAGGGAATTGACTTCAATTTGATCTAAAATCTTAAGCTGATGAGTTGAGGTAAAACCAATATATGTCATATAAATATGATATAAACTATATGACCAAGCCCAAAACATCACTAAGTTCAAAAGCTTAAGGTCAATTGTGGGGAAGTTGAATGAATTGGTTCAATACTTCTAAAACAGCTCAAGTATAATATTCTCATGGTAAAAAAAAAAAAAATCTTGTACCAATAACTGAGGAACTTAAGGTAACAAGTGTTAGAAGCCCCAACTATATTTGGTTCGTTCACCTTCAATATTCCTTTCAAATTGTATTCAAAATACCAATATTTATATGGGTTGCTTCAAAAGCAAAAGCATATTTTGCTAAAAACTTATTCTCCTTCCATTATCGAAATCCGAATGCCGGCAAGCATCAGAGTCTTGCTGGCCACTACATCAAACTTCATATTCTCCTATCTATTCCCTATTTCCATCAACCGTACTATTCCAAAATGAATGCCACTTCTACTAAAAGTGTTCTTCCCCTAATTGCATATATAACCCGTCACCCACTAGTACTAAGTACGTTTAACATAATTTCTAACTTTACCCTAAAAATCTGGATCCGAGCTGCTTCTTTATCTAGTTTTTTAGGAACAGAAAGAGCATGAAGGAGGAAAGGGAACTCCTCCCTATCATAAACACTAAAACATGCAAATGTTTCATCCAACACCATGATCTGCCATTAAGTTTAGATGGCAAATTCTTTAACATTGCGCCTAACACACAGTAAATGCCTAGTAAATTAAACAGAAATAACTTCAATTTGCCATTGATTTTAGACTTGTGATTCATGTATTCTTGTCGTGCAAAACACAGGTAATTCATGTATTTGTATCTTGTTTTACACAAAAATTATGTATTTGACATAAGAGGTATAATTGGAGTCAAGAAAAGGATATATATGATGCAAAATTAACTCCATTGTACTAAAATTATCAATAAAACTGATACAACACATATCAAAAATTCAGAACATGAGCTTATTAAAACTTCAAATATTGAAAATGTACCTATATTTGTCCTTCAATCCTCAATTTTCACCATTTTTTTCTTTATGCACGATATCCCACAGAAAATCCGTTATCACAGACTCAAAATCTGGCATTTTCGCGTATCCCGGAAAATAATTGATATCAATGACAATGTAATTATCCTTGTTTCTAACATCCCTAATAACATCGAAATTGAATAGATTTAACTTCAAATCCTCCCTTAGCCCTTTCACCAATTCCTTCACTAAACTCTCCGGGGGCATTTGACTCTTTTCAAAATCACAACCTTCTCCGCCGCCAGCGGCCGCCAAATTCGAAACCTGGGAAAACGGCAACGAACCTTTCAAATTTACCATTTCATCATCCGGAATATCCGGTAAAGACCTCCGTTTCACGGACCGGAAATATTCACCAGCTACGTAGACTTTGAAAACGACGCCGCCGTGATTAATGAACTCCTGTAAAACAAACGGCGGCGTTAAGTTCTTCAATCCATCGTTGTCGAAGATAAGATGCATTTTATGCGACGTCTCGCTGCCGTCCGCGTCTAACGGCTTCATAATCAACGGAAAAGTCAGTTTCAGATTTTCCAAATCCGTAACTTCCGTAACAGTGAACTGTTTGGGGACTCCGGTGTTTGTTATTTTTAGTTTCGAAACGGTTTCGAGCATTGAGATTCTGTTGTGGAGAACCTCGATGGAATCTGGGGAGTCGATGATGGGAATATCGCGGTTTTGGGAAGTGAAGTTTTTAAGGTTTTGTATCCAATCTGAGCCGTACAATTTGTGGATGATGCAATCGAACGGTCCTTGCTGTATTAAAGGTTTGTGGGGATCGATTTTGGTTAGGACAACACCGTTCTTGGAGGCGTGGGAAAGAAGGGACGGTAGGATGAAAGTTTTCTCTTTTTTGGGAGTTAGAGCGTAGCCGACTTGGTTAGTTTTTGAAGAAAGTTTTGACATATTTTGTAGCAGTGTCTGTTTGGAAGGAGAGAAAGTCGAGAGAAAATGCAAGCTTCTGTGCAAACCGGGTAGTTAAAAAGCCTTCGGATTCGGAAAGCCAGAAAGAGAAAGGAGATGCTTAACGTCTAGCACGTGGCAATTAGAACCTTTCATGACACGTGCAATGGTGGGTCGTGTGTTTTGCTTTCTCATAACCTCTTCTTCTTGTAAAGATGCAAAGATAGGATGTAAATAATATATTATTATTTATAAATTTTTTGAATTTTATTCAATTATTATTGAGTAAAACTCACGAAACTGAATTCATTGATTGAGTAAAATTCAGATAATTTTACATTAAATTCAAATAATTAATAAATTTAATTGAATTTTTATATTTAAATATATTTTTATTATTTTAATTAATAAAATATCTTGAAATCGAATTTAAATTTGAGTATAAATAATTAAATTTTTATTCAATATAAGAATTAAGTTTATTTTTATATGTTAATTGAATTTAATTGAACGAACTTGATCTTAAATTAAATTCGAACTAAAAAAATAAAATTTAATCAAATTCAAATCAAATTTTAAATTTTAAATCGAATTCGAACTCAAACTTTATATTATATTATATCATTTAAACTCAATTAATTACGTTTTTTAGGTAAAAATAATAATTTAACTTTGATATGTGCCTTCCTGTTTGGTGCGATTAACTTTAATACGTTTAAAATAAAAAACAAAATTTATATGACTACTAAATAGAAGATTTATTTTTAGTTTTTATCAAGAATTTTATTAAAATTTAAAACTCATTTTTTTCATATATTTTTATATTAAATTATTATACCGTGTTTGAAATTACCAATTCTATCCTCAACTGACTTTTGCTGGACATCTTTGAACGTCGTCATTATATCGCCCCTTACCGGTGGTTTAGTTCAACACCGCAACAAGAAGTCGAAAGAAAATTTTTCATGTATATAACAAGGGAGGGGTTAGAAATGGAGTGGCGTATATGGTTCAGTTACAACAAATCAAGTCACTGCAATACCCTATACGACTAAGATTTGATAACCATTACAGTGTTTACTTTCAGGGATGCTTCGAATATGGCTCTTGCCTCCTGAAAGAACTTTGACAAGGGGCCAATGACAAAGCCTCGACTCGAAAAACTGTAAATTTCTCAAGAGATTGGAAAGAGAATGAGAAGGCAACTTTCATCCAATTATTATGCCTGCAACGGAATAGCTTCAGTATTTGCCTTCTTATGTGAGCGAGAACCATCTCTAGACTTACGTGATTTCCTCTTTTTTGCAGAGACCTTCTCTTTCAGGTCTTCAAAAGCTTGTTTTTGATCCTCATCACCATTCTCTTTTAAAAGCGCATCATCCATATCCTTCCCAGAATGCAATAAAGACCTAGTCTTCAGATCGCCCTGAGTTACTGGTTCGATAACAGACATTCCAATGAGAGTGTAATCCAACAAAAATGTGCTTCTTATAAGCCTGTCTATCCTGCTGAAATGTCTCTGAGAATATGGTATAAGACCTTCAAGCAGTTCGCCAATGCCTTTTATCTGCAACATAGTTTGTTCAAGCACTAATTCAGTAAACAGTGGTGCTTGCTATTGCTAAAGTTGGAGAAGAGGGCAATGAGAAAGGCTTGAAGATAACATTTCGATGTGCCACTAATTCAGTATTACCAGCATATACAATTGGAAACATAGTTTATTACACCAGACATAGTTAAAACTTGACAATCTATTACTCAAGATGACACCCTTAAAAAATTGCCAGTAGTACCAGCATACTGAAATAGCTAAGACTCCAGTTGGTTCTTGCTATTGCTTTTTCAAATAGCATTTTGCTTCTAGAAAAAAAAATGAATTTAGGTACAAAAGCAATTGAAAATTTTGAAAGAGATTAACATTAATTCAACTTCCAGAAAAAAAAAAATGCAAAATCTTAACTATATTTAAAACAACTATGTTTGAAATGAAAACATCAATTAACCATTTGATCATCTTTAATAAAATATTATCTTAAGGTTTATCATTTTTTATCCATTATAACAATTCTTGTAGAAGGAAAAAGAAAGCAACAATCAAATGAAGCCTAAACTTATTTCAATTTGCATTAAGCTAAAGGATAATGGTTTTACTTAATGTGTTGGTTCAAACTAAGTGATGGGTTTATAGTCAGACATCTAGAGTATCCAAACACAAATACTTTTCTGTGGCCAAATGAGGCTAACTCCCAATGAGTGACAATTACAACATTCTTAAGATGCTTCTCATTTAAATTCAAAAGCTAGAATCAAAAACGGTGGTGACAAAACAATACCTCAATAATCTCTGTTGGAGGAAGAATGTTGAAAGCTCGGAAGAGAACAAATTGGGCAACGTGACACAGCTTTGGCTTTGTATTCCATTCTCGTACATACTCAAAAAGTAGATGAAATTCTTCTTTGCCAAGGGCGTGAAGGGCTTTGTCTGTCTGATCCCCAGCCTCTCCCTTCCTACATGACATTTTGTTATGAGAAAATGCTCTATATAGAAATAATGAAGCAGATATATGAGTAGGCAAAACTAACCTGCAAAGCCCAGAAAACAACTCAAAAAGTTTATGAGGCCGCCGGAGCTCCAAAGCAATTTGAATTGCCTTTGTGTACTCAGCATCTAATACTGCATTTTCCAATTCTTGCCCTCTCAGAACCCCTTTCTCCTGTGTCAAAATGGAGACACATATTTAAACAATTTGTGCTACTAATACATAATTTAAACAAAACAGCTTAATCAAGGGAAAAGCCCCTCATTATTACACTCAAAATGTTAAAACTGACAAACAACAATGGCAAGGTCCAACAAAAGCTAATTTTGATATATAAGTTCTTACTCCCAAGCACCAAGTAACATACAAAACCCAAAGATTCGCTCATAAGTGGGAAAGGAAAAAAAAAAAGATTCAGTATTTGGGCTTTGCTCAGGTGATGTATCCAAGATATAGTAAATTTTAAATTCTTTCACTTCATATTGTCTGGTTAAAATAAGTTGACAAAAGAAAAGAGAAGTATTTAGAAGGCTCTAAAAATGTTTCTCCTTTCTAGTCCTCCATTTGAGTTTCTCTTCAGAAAATATACCAGAATCTTACAAAAGTCCTTTACTTTTTAATTGGTAACAGCATATTCCAGGTTTCTTAGAAAAAATCAACATCAAAACATACTTATTTGCCACAACTAATTCACAGATTTAGCATATCCAAGGGCCTGTATTAAATTGGCCCCATTGCATGTTCCAATATGCTTAAGAGAAATAATATCAAGCTCAAAAAGTATAGATGACACACCTCTTTACGAAAAGCTTCTTCTTTCTCAGCAGCAGTTGAATCATACCACAGATTGATCACTGCATCACTGCCACCTGTTGCTAACATTTCTGTCTTTTCCCAACAGCCAATGCCCAAACCTGCAGCCCAAATTTTATCACCAAAGGAATTAATGCCACTTGGCTTCACCTTCCTCCATGCATGATGAAGCTCTTGAAAATCTAGTAATGATATACTATTGCATTATCCACACAATAGATGCAGATTTATGAAAGAAACAAGTGAAGATGTAAGCAATTAACCCAAACATTAAAAGAAATAAAACAATAGTTCAATACCTTGTCATCGTGCTGATCATAGGTAGCAATGCATTCATTTGTTTTGATTGTCCACAGCTTTACCAATCCATCAGCACCTGAATAATTAATGACAAGCTAAATGTCATCAAAACATAAAAATGGAAAATGGAAGAAAATCCTAATGAGTGAAGAGAAAGATGTTATTACCACAAGATACAAACTGGGTCCCACGTGTAAGAAATGATGCTCTTAATACACTTGATGTATGTCCTTCAAACGTTTTTAAGCACGAACCATCAGCTATAGCCCATATCTTTACAGTCTTGTCACCTGATGCTGTTATGACACATTGATCAACAGGTGAAAACTCTACAGACCAGATTCCTCGTTTATGGCCTGTAAATTTAACTACAGATACCAGATCTGGAAGCCTCCAAACACAAGCAGTACGATCCTGATTGCCAAAAAAATTATATCATCTTAACCTTTTAAAAGTATCTTTGGATTAAAGGCTGCGCCCAAGAAAATATATCCTTTTGTAGTTTCAGCCTCCTTTTAATAAAAGAAAAATCAATAACACCATAGCAAAAGAGGATGAATAAGATGCAATGCCTACTAACCTGAGAACCACTACAAACTAAACTGTCATTTGGTGCAACAGCCAGAGAATTTATATCTTTATCATGTGCTGCTACAACTGCCTTTGCTTTTAAATTAATAGGCTGTTCGATATCCTCTGAGAGTCCATCCAAGTTCCAAACCTTAATGGTACGATCACTGAAGAAGAAAATAGTACATGTTATGTAAAAATATAAAACCATTATCATCCAAAAAGGGAAAAAGAGAATAAAATCAGTAATGTGCAATTTTAACAACATTTTACAACCATCAATTCTTATGTCAAAAAATTTGCAGAATTCAGGCATTATTGTTGCATTAGATATTACAGAAGTTAGTAAAAATATACAGATATTACAGAAGCATTCCAGAATTAATGTCAATTGGTTATCTAGATATGTTCTTTATGTTTACTGTTTCACTTTAGTTCAGGGTGGTAATTATGTTTTAATTTTTAACTGGTCATATGACCATTATGTGATCTTCAAATGAGTTTGAACAGCTAGGATTATAGGGGGCTCATTTGCATCCAACAGCGAGGGTTAAAAGCTTCCACAATTTTGCTTTTCCTTTTATAGTTTCTATTTCCACACAGCACCAGATTAAGTGCATAAAATATAAAAGGTAGCATGTAGTAAAAACAAGAATCTTATAAACAGTCAAATTTAAAACTACCATCCCCACACAAATTTCCAAGCAAACATGATCCATCATGTAGCATAACTTACAAAATGCAAGGTCCAAGATGAATCATGAACTCATTTTCTCTAGTGTCATCTACAAATACTCCAGCCACCATGTTAAAACATGATTTGCTTGTCACATTACCAATCATAATTGGCAGATAGTTTTTTAGGCATAGTGCACGGAGTATATTATGTCAAGTCAACTACTACCCAAAACCTAATTTCATTTGTCAA